ACTGCTGAGCATCAAAGGTCCTGGGAGTGAATTCACACCAGGACTGCTGAGTGTCAACGGCCCTGGGAGTGAATTCACACCAGGACTGCTGAGCACTGAAGGCCCTGGGAGTGAATTCACAGCGGGACTGCTGAGCACTGAAGGCCAGGCAAAGACATTGAGGCTTTCTAGGCCCAGAACTGTCAGGAAGCCTCTTTCCTTAGTTTTTGCTTCACTCTTCTGGCCTCTGTTCTGCGGAGAGCAGAAGGCAGCTGTGGCCCAGGAAAGCTCGTTCTGTATCACATGTGCACTTGTGTGGTAAAGGGTTAACCTTGCCCAAAGAGAGGCCTGGCCTTTGCCCTCAGGTCCTGGGACGTGAGCTGTACACCCTCTCTGATTAAGTTGGACACTTTTAATTTAATCTGCCTGATAAGAGTGTTGTTTTCCTGGGGCCTTGGGCCACACTGAATGGTCTAACAATGTGACTCATGTGTGTCCTTGGGCCACGGTATCAGCTTGCCCTTGGAGGGGCTGGAGACTGAGGTCAGCCACGTGCATGGTCAGCCATGTCTACCTCTGGACACTGAGGCTCAGGTGTGCTTCCTGGGTTGGTAATACTCTGTTGACATATCTCTGTCACTTGTCGCCTAAGACAGTGGTCTTTCAGAGAATGAAGGACTGTCCCCATGACTCCCCTGGCTGAGGACAACTGGAAGCTCGCATCTGGTGCCTTTGCTGAGTTAGTGTCCTTCCTTCTGCTGTGATCAACTGTAACTGGGGTATATCAGCTTTCAGTGAGTTCTGTGAGCCCTTCCAACAGATTACTGAACCTGAGCGTGGTCTGGGGGACCCCTGACCTTTGCAATACTTTAGTATTTGGAAGGTGAGAAAAATATTGCATACCTTTGTAATAGCAAGTAGGGAAGGTAAAGTCTAGCCAACTGTCTTGGCTGGTGGGATATGAGGCAGCTGGGCAGTGGTGGAGGGCCTCTCACCTGGGCCCTATCCAGGTGCATCAGAATTTCCCAGTGCTGGAAGCCCAAGGGCTTTCTATTTCCCAGAAGGGAACACGGCACAATCGAGTTTGAGAATTAGTACCTTAGAACCCCAGATCCAAGACTCTCAGGTTGGCAAGGGCCTTCAAGGTTACTGAGACCAACTTTCTACTGAGGCCCAGCCCTACGCCCAACCAGGCCATGCCCATCAGCCTCCTGGGGGCCCTGTCTGCAAGCTATGGGAGTCCTCACTTGTCTCACAGTTCCGGCCCTCAAAATCTTCGAGGCAGAAGCAGATATAGGACTGCAGCTGGTCCTCGCAGGAGCCTCCATTCTGGCATGGATTTGAGGAGCATTGGTCCCCATCTGTGGAGGGAGTCAGTGTTAGTAGGCTGAGGAGAAGGGCTGGTGGGTGGGATCAAAATGGACTGTTTACCTACTCACCTTTGTAAGAAATCCAGAACTGCGTCTGAGGGAACAAAGAGGAAGCCATGTGAGGCACATGTTCACCAGAAGCAAATATTTACGGTATCCCCCGAATGAACTGATGACCTGGTGGGTTGCGGTGGGCTGGGCTTCTGACCTGGGCCTTTTGTGATGGGCTCTGGGAACCAGATTTTTCCTCTGGAGATAAGGTGTGTTCGTGTAGGGGGAAGAAGTGTTTTCCTAATCCCCACTTCCCCCACCTCCTCCACCCTGATCACTAAGGCCACCAGAGGTCACAAATTTCCCTCCCCCAAGTCAGAATACTCAAGTTTTAGCCCCAACTCTGCCACCTCCGAGCTGTGAACCCAGACGAGACACATGTGCTCTGAGCCTCCATTCCCTCCTCCAGACACACAGTCGACACGAGGAGAAGGTAGGTGATGCACGCAAAGGCATTCTAGGAACTGCAGGGGGCTCCAGCAATAAAAATGATTCCTGAGGAATCTTTTGCCAACTGACCTAAAGCTCGCAGGGTTGCTGTGACAATAAAAGAAGACGAGAACTGTTGAAGATGCTTTGAAAAACTAAGTGGTACACGGACACAATGGATAACCATCCGCAATGTACCTGGAAAGAGTCACGTTAGCCTCTGTCTCAAGTAGCCCTACTTCCTGTGTGAGGTGTCCTGTGAGTATGTGTCCTGTGAGTGTGAGGTGAGGTGTCCTGTGAGTGTGACATGTGCTCCTGTGAGTGTGAGGCATGTACCCTGTGAGTGTGTCCTGTGAGGGTGAGGTGAGGGGTCCTGTGAATGTGACGTGTGTCCTGTGAGTGAATTGTGCTCCTGTGAGTGTGAGGTGTGTGCCCTGTGAGTGTGTGTCCTGTGAGTGTGAGGTGTGTGCCCTGTGAGTGTGTGTCCTATGAGTGTGAGGTGTGTCCTGTGAGTGTGTGGTGTGGTCTTTTCTCATCATAACCTGACTCACCCTCCTGTCAAAGAGTTCAGAGGGATGTGATACAATTCAAATGTGCGTCTCTTGGAAAGTGAAAACAGAAATGCAGACGCTCTATCCATGTGGCCCAATGCAGGTGGAGGAAGTGATGGTTTCCTGAATGTTTCCTCACAGGAGTTTCCCTGAGGAGGTGCCCACGGGCGGGCGTGGCAGTAAGAGGCTCACCCAGGCCAGATCCTCAGACGTCTGCTCTGTCAGCAGCATGGACAGCTTTAGGAGCCTGGGGGACCTTCTTCGGGAAGGCAAGGGACACATCGAGTGTGATTTTCAAACTATATTTTCTGATGCAACAATTAGGATGCATGGTGTGGCAAAGAGGAGGTGTCCCTGGAAACAGGGGACAGGACGGAGCACTGCAGCTATGACTGAGGCAAGTGAAGTCGTCCTCAGGAGGAAAGAGACCGAGATAGGGAGGGGCTGTGCACGCTGCAGCCCCTGTGTGTTCACCCGTGCGTGGAGCACTCACAACCACAGAAGTGGAGACACGTGGCCCCCAAGACACAGGAGAACCCCGGCTGTCACGGAGCTCCCTTCCGGAAGACTCACCACGCTGGCCCTCACATCCAGCAGCTCGGGGCACCCCCTGGAGGTGAACTCACCGTCCTCTCCATGTTCTTGAAGATCTCCCTGGCCTCCTCAAAGGAGCACTGCTCCTCCTTGCACTCTCTCTCCAGGGAGCCTGGCCTCAGCTCCTCCAGGAACCGGTTAGCACGCCTCTGCCTGTGCAAGACGCTGTGGGCTTCCTCCTGGGTGACGAAGACTGAGAAATGGGAGTCCCATGAAACATTCACAACCTGCCACGCCAAGATGGCGTGGAAACCATCCACGCTGGTCCAGTCCCACTCGGCACCGGGAACCATCCACGCTGGTCCAGTCCCACTCGGCACCGGAAAACATCCACACTGGTCCAGACCCACTCAGCACTGGGAACCATCCACACTGGTCTTGTCCCACTTGGTGCTGGGAACCATCCACACTGGTCCAGTCCCACTCGGTACTGAGAGTCAAAGGTTCCGTCTACAGGCCTGGCTGAATTTGAAATAGGAATGCTTTCTCATGGCTGGCTGGCAACAGGCAACATGGCACACCCTTTACGTGCAAGGATAAGGCAATATGTTCATTAAATTATAACTTAACACATTCGTACCTTCGGACCTGGTCACTTCACTTCTAGGGATTTATCCTAAGGAATCACTCAGAGGCTTGCCCAAAAACTTAGCCATCAGGAGAGCTATTGATAATCTGAAACAACCAAAGGATGCTATCCCATGCTGCCATGACATATAATGCTTAAGACGACGTGACAGTAAGTGAACAAAAAAGGTGATAAAACCATATATTCTGTATAAATCCTTTTTTGTTAATAAAAAGGTATATATGAACATATATGTGTAAATATAATTTATTGAAATAATATACATAAAAAACTGAGGATTGAAAGTCTGTTCTAAAATGTGTACAATCAACATGTATAACTTCTATAATCAAAATGTGCATCTGCTGAGTCCCAGCACCTAAGGTAGTGGAGCGTTCCATCTGGAGTTGTTGAATGAATGTGCTGGAGGGCTCACATGGGGGAGGGGGTTCTACCGGATGTGCATTTGAGGGAGGTCAAGCGAGGTCAGGCAGCAGGGAGAGGCTGGGCTTGGGTAGGGGTGAGGTAGGGAGGGGCTGAGGGGGCAAGGAGGAGAGGGGTGGACATTCCTCTTCTCTATTTAAAATCTAACAGTCCTGCCCGCTGCACTCCGGGCCCATTCTTCCCAGCTCTTCTGGAACTCTGGTTACTTCCCAATGTTGTCAGTTCTCTCCTCCTACCACCTGCCCAAACCCTTGCTTTGCTTTGCCACCAACCTCTGTCTCTCCCTTTAAGACCCCACTCTTGAAGGAACGTTCCTCACCCTCCACCAAGGTTCTCACATCGACTCTTAGACCCATCATAAGCATAAAGCCACCTGTGACTCCCTGCTTTTGAATACTGCAGGCTCCTCGTGGATCTTTCTTGGTGGCAGGACCGCTGACCGCTGACCGCTGTCTGCTTCTCAACACTTCCTCCCCTGGCCGCCAAGGCCCGGGCTCCTCCGGGCCCTCTTCCCACTCTGACCCCCTCCCAGCCTCCTTTGGCGCTGGCTGTGGAGTTTTGGTATCCTTCAGTTTTGGTCTTTCTACTCTAAGAACCACCTCACCCCACTTCCGGCTTCAGCTCTCCCCCCATATACCAGAACCCAAACATCTTATTTTCAGCTGGAACTCTCTGAATCCCAGATCTCTTATCCAGATTCCCTGCAGACTGAGAACCTACACTCACAGCCCTCGCATGTGGGTCTGCCTTCCTCCCCTCCACCTCCGTCTGCTGCTCCTGGCCACGTCCCCGTCCCGGTGAATGACCCACCTGCTCTTGAGCCACGTTTCTCCGAGGCATCTGACCTCTTGCAGCCAGCTCTGCATCTGCAGCCTCCCGCATCTGCCCCTCTTCTCTGCACCCCTGCAATGCTGCCTCCCACATCTGCCCCTCTTCTCTGCACCCCTGTGACGCTGTCTTAACTCGAGAGCTCCTACCTCCTCCGGGCCCCTTCCCAAGTGCTTGCCTGCTGCCAAGAAGAGCAGAGCACCTCTGTGCCTCCTCCTGGCCTCTCACAGTGACCCCGATAGTTACCTGCAGGTAGCTGGTGTCCCCCACTTTGCTTATGAGGAAGGGAGGTGGGTGAGGTGAGAGCTCACCTAAGGCCCCCTGGGGGGCGGGGTAAGGGCACCAGAGACAAAGGGGACCAGTCTGAACACCTTGAAGTGAAGGATTCTTTCGGACACCCAGGCAGACATGGGGACTGCACCCCAAGAGAGGATTTGGCGATGGAGGCGAGGATGTTGAGGTCGGAGACAATTGCGCAGAGCCTGAAGTCAGGGTGGGGACGAGGCCTTGAGCCCCAGCGTGGTCCTGCTGTGTGCGATGTGCTATGGGCATATGCTGTAAGTGCCCCAAGAGGGAAGCAGGGTGCACGCGAGGTGAGAAGATGAAAGTGGGAACAAAGCAGCATCGAGGGGCAGAAGCCAAGTGCAGAAACTGAGTCCCAGAGGAGAGATGAGCACAGACCGAGACCAGAGGACAGTGCCGCATCCTCCATCGGAAGCTGCTGGTATGTGAGCCAGGGGATGCTCCGGACAGGCAGGAAGGTTACGGAGTCAGGACGGGGGCAGGAAGCGGGGAGAGGCAGCTCCCGGGACTCTTGGGCTGAGGGAGGCCACGTCTTTTCTTCTTTAGAACTAGAGAGTTTTGCATGTCTGTATTCCTGAATCAATCTGGTTTGGAAGGAGAGGTTGAGGGAAAATCAAAAAATGGAGGCTCCTGGGAGGGGAGGTGGCCATGGAGCCCACATAGGGGGGACTGGAGACTGGAGACCACGGCCGGGCCAGCCAGAGCGGAACCATCTGCGCTTGGAGGAGAGAACCTTTGCACCAAAAGCTCTCAGGGAACCAGAGGCAACACTGATGATAGAGGAACCCACGATTATTGCAGGGAACTTGGAAAAGACAAGCCAGAACAAAGACGACGATGAAAATCACTCGCAACCTGTCACTCTTTTCCTGCCCTAAAGAGGACAGCGGGCAGCACAGTGGGCAGCACTGACTTCCTCTGGAAAGCCTCTGGGCACTTGCGCTCATCAGGGCAACAACAACACCGTCACCCGCATCCCAGGCTAGTCTCTCAGCGTGGGATTTGAAGGACCACGTGAACGGGATTTTAGAGGACGATGTCCGCACCTTGTTTCCACCACGGCCGCACTGGGTACTGGAAAGTAACGACGAGCACAGCTTATAAAGCACACGTTTCCCCACTCAGCCTCCCAGTCCCTGTGGGGCTCGGGGGTGGCTGTGATCAGGTGGTGGAGCAGCCCAGTGTCCCCACACCATCCCCAGTGCTGGCTGACAGAGAGCCAGGAGAGGAGAGCAAGAGGGAAGCACCCCACCACCCCACACCCTGAGCCCCAGATTCTGTATGTTGGCCCAGCTGCCCAGGGCGGGTCCCCATGGATGGCCGGGGAAATGCCACCAGCTCCCAAAAGTCTTTGAAAAATAATTCTGCCAAAGCCTACGCCGTCAACAGCAGCCTTTCCTCCAAGGCTCAGCAAGGCCTGGCACTGTTTGCTTTTTGGAAGGAAAGCAGATCACATGGGAGCTGCCAGCAAACGCTCCATGAACAGGAACGTCCACACGAAGGAAGGAAGGAAAGGTTTGGGAGGCTTGGCTGCCGGCACCCTGCTGCCCTTCCCATGGGCTGTTAGGGAACCGTCCCCCCGACATACCTGCAGTCAGAGACCCCTGCAGGCTGAGCAGAAAGCAGAGGAGGGCCAGCCCCCGGGGCTGGGACACCATGGTGAGGTCTGTGGTGTCACCCGTCTGTTGACATTCCACGTGGGGGAGGCGGGCAAAGTTCTTGGTCTCGAGGTGCCGGGAGAGGGATGGGGGAGGGGGTGTAGAATCCCTGCCAGGCGCCAGGCTGGAGTGGGGATCAGAGACAGAAGGGCGGGCCTGCACCGGGGCGCCAGGTCCAGGAACCCAGGCACAGAACAGCCACGTGTTTTCCTTCTCTGAAACGCCTGTGTTAGGACGTGCATGTGGCGTGGGCACCAAACGCGGCTGAGAATTCTGAAGCCCTTAGGACTTCAGCTGCAAGCTGGGAACAGAATTAAACTGCAGGTGAGAAGCCACGCCCCACGGTAATAACACTGATGAAAGGAGAGCATATTTTGGGTGTGAATGGAAATATTTTGAAGACAGCCACAGAGGAGACCCACGCAGGCCGCCCTCGCCCGAGAGGCTGGTTACTTAGATGCGCCGGAGAACCCCTCAGAGAGGCACCAGGAAGGGGGCATATACCCCAAGCCGAGCCCCCAACTCTGTTTTGGCTGCAGGTGGCACCCCCATGTCCCTCTATGTCCTCCTGGGCCCAGCCCACAGGCTAGGGCGACCAGCCGTCCTGGGGTGCCGGGTGTGGAAATGTGTCTCAGGATGCTAGACTTCCTGTGCTGAAACCGGGACTGTCTGGGGCCCACTGGGATGGTTACCCCGGCAAAGCTCATGTGGCCATCCAGCCCCCAGTGGGCCTGGGCTCGACTCTCTGGAAATGAATCTCCTTTCCGTGAATGAGTGGAGACTGGGGACACCAGCTCTGCTCATCTCTCTTCTGAGCAGGAGGGACGCAGCCCAGCTGTTTTCAGGAGGCCCAGCCCTACCCCCCAGGTGGAGGAATTAGTCCTTAAGGGGAACGTGTTTTACTGGTCACCTCTGGAATTTCTAATTGTCACTCTCAATACTGCTTACTTGTTTAGGAATTTATTATATAGGCATTCATCACGAAGGAGTGAGGGAGAGGGAGGAGGGACTCTACCACTTGACCGCTCCTCCCAGCCACAGCCCTTCTGGCTGAATCTCTGCCCCCGGCCTTCTGCAGCAGCTCAGGGGTCAGACGGACCTGGAGGGAGGCCTGGATCCGCTTTCTCCCAGCTTGGGAAGAAGTGGTCATTCCTTCGAGCCTCAGTCTCTTAATTGGTGCCAGGAGGCTGACACCCTCCTGGGAGAGTGGTGGTGCTGTCCTGTCCTGTGCACCTCCACAAACGCCACCTGCCGTCACTGCTCTCGCCCGGCGGCCTGCTGTGTGCAGGCTGAGTGCCCGGGCACACTCCCTCGCACCGCAAGAGCCGCCTGTCTCCTCAGCTGCGCTTAGCGTGTTCACTGGGCTCCTCCTGTATTCACCTAGTGGGGCTGCCCTGACAAAGTCTCACACTCTGGGGGGCTTGCAACAGCAGGATTGTGCCCTCTCCCTGTCCTGGAGCCACAAGCCGAGATCAAGGTGTTGTGGGGCCGCGCTCCCTCTGGAGGCCCCAGGGAAGGATCCTTTCTGCCTCCCCAGTCCCTGGGGGCTCTAGTGGTCCCTGGTGTCCTTGCCTCAAAGGGCAGGGACAGCTCTCCAGCCTCCGCCTGGGTCAGCACACAGCCTCCGCGTGTGTGTGTGTGTGTGTGTGTCTGTGTGTGTGTGTGTATGTGTCTGTGTCCAAATCTCTCTCTCCCTACAAGGACACCAGTCATTGGATTTAGGGCCCACCCTACTCCAGTGTGACCTTAACTTAACCAATTACACTTGCAACAACCCTATTTCCAAGCAAGGTCACATTCTGGGGTTCCGGGCAGTCGTGAATCTTGGGGTGCACTGCCTTGCCCCCCTGAATCCGATCTGCCTGTTCCGGAGTGTCGAGTGAACGGCTGGGCTTCCTGCACTCAGCACAATGCTCATGAGATTCATCTACGGTGCTCACGGATCAAACACGATCTTTTAGAAACATGGGTCTGATTATGGAACTCCCCAGTAAGCCCCGCGTGCATCCGTTGTGTGTAGGATGAAGCCAGGCAGCTGATCCTGACCCGCAGGCCCGCGCTCCGGCCTCTTACCACTCACTCCCTGTGGGGCCTAGGCCTGGCCTGCTCAGCAAGAGCCCACAAGCCCATCGCAACCATGCATCCCTCTGGCTCCTTCTAGGAGGACGCCCAGCCGCTGGGATCTGTAACAGTCCAGGGCCTGGCCAGCCCGGATCGTACCTTACTCACTCATAGCACATCGCGTCTTGAAGGGACACAGAGCCCTTCCCTGTGAGCTACTGTTCTGGGAAAGCTGGTCGTACCAGGGACAGCCCCTCCGCCAGCATATGGCCTTGGTGTCCCTTCCTGTATAAGCAGCCCCCTCCCTGCCAGTGGTTGTGGGTGCACACTTCCGTCCAGCTAGCCGCCACTGGACCTCCCTGTAAGTAACTCCCAATAAACCTCTAGGTCTCGTTTGCCGTCTCCGGGTCTTTTCTTCCATCTCTCCACAACGTATCCCACACTGCTCACCCAACTGGGCGTGCGGCCAGACACTCCGCTAACTGGACGCCTTCTCGTCCACAGCGCTGCGATCTCCAGCTCCTCCCACAGCTGGAGGGAGACGACTCCTTCCCATCACCCCAGCGCATCGAGGGCCATCCCTCATGGCAGCCCCCGCCGCTCCACCAGCCTACTACCCCGTTTATTTGCTCCCTGGCACGCATCTCCTCCTGACAGCCTGCTGCTTACGCGCTGACCTGTGTCCACCGAGCAGAGTCCCTGCTGAGCCACAAACAGGAAGTGGTTTTTCCCCAGTCGCTGCTTTCCAAGCCCCCTGAATCCCCTTCTTGGCCCTTGACAACATCTCGGGGAGACCTCTTAACTCTTCTGGTCACCCCGAACTTTGAAATGGCTGCTCCGTCTGGGACCAAGCTCACAGCTCACATCCAACTCGAATCTGAGCCCACCCCGCCGTGCAGTGCTGGCTGAGGAGAGGAGGGGTGGCCTCTCTGCCTGGGTTCCCTTCCTTTTCAGGGCCCTGGGTCAGGGGTCCTCAGCCCTTCCTGGGCGTCGGCACCACCCGGGGATGCCAGGAGCTCTGACAGTCAGATTCTCAGGGCTGGGGGCCACCTGCGCTCAGCTCCCCCTAGCGGCCAGGCAGAAGGGCTCCTGACGCGTCAGCCCTGGGCCACCTGCAGCTGGCCTCCCTGTGGCCGGGGTCCAGCACTGCTCCTCGGGCACACGAGTGTAGGAGTTCCTCCCGGACCTGGAGGGAGGCCTGCACCCCACCCCACTCCCTGAAGTGGGCCCCTGCTTGGTGCCGCTCCACGGCTGTCCCTCGGGCCCGGTCTCAGAGCCAGCCTCCACCAGGACACTCAGGGACAAGCATGAAACTGGCCTGTCCTGGCCACCCCTCTCTTCAGTAAATGGTCATGTAAGAGCTGCCTGGAACCCCATGCACACACCACACACGCACCACACTTCCAGTCCTCCACTCGGGGAACTCGAACCTCAGGGGGCCCCAGGAGCAGTATTTGACCAGCACCTGGGTGACCCTACTGTGCTGTCACATTTGGGGACCCGTGCTGTATACTGCTGGTATTTTTTAGCTTAAGGAACACAGAACTCATCTAAGGATTATAGGTTATGATTTTGAGCATAACTTAACTCTCTTTTCTGGCTCTTTGGCTTGTTTTTTACCTTTATTCATGGGGCTTTGAGAGTACAGAAATTTATCATTTGATATACTCAGATTTATCCATCTTTTTCTTTAAGTGCAGTTTTGTTTTTTTCTTTTGTAAGAAATCAATTCTTGCCCTAAGGTAATAAGGATATGCTATGTTTTCTTCTAATAATTTTGAATTTTTTTTTTTTTTTTTGTGAGGAAGATCAGCCCTGAGCTAACATCCATGCTAATCCTCCTCTTTTTGCTGAGGAAGACCGGCTCTGAGCTAACATCTATTGCCAATCTTCCTCCTTTTTTTTTTTTTTCCTCCCCAAAGCCCCAGTAGATAGCTGCATGCCATAGTTGCACATCCTTCCAGTTGCTGTATGTGGGACACGGCCCCAGCATGGCCGGAGGAGCAGTGCGTCGGTGTGCGCCCGGAATCCGAACCTGGGCCACCAGCAGCGGAGCGCGTGCACTCAACTGCCAAGCCACGGGGCTGGCCCTTGAATTTGTTTTTAAAATTTTGGTTAGAGACCTAATTTGGTTTCTTTTCCACATGGAGAGCCAGCTGTCCCAAAAATGTGAATATTTCTGATGAGGCCACTCTTATCCACCAGCTGGTCTCACCACCTCTGTACCAGCCGAGTCATCGTGTGCACACACCTGTTCGGGAATCTTGATTCTGATCAGCTCTTTGGCTCGCACCCCTGCCCCGACAGGACACCTGAAGCTTAATGATCAGTCCAGCTCCCCGCACCGCGAGTTGTCTTCATCCTCCCACTCCCCACCCGTCACAGCTACACCTAGACCTTTCTTCTTCCATACATTTTGCCATCAATTCCCTAATTCCACAAAGAACTCTGCTGGGGTTTTGATAGAAGTACATTAAATGGACTGATTAATTTGGGGAGGAATTGACATTTTGTGGACATGGAATGGTCTCATCCATAAAAATCTCTCCATTTATTCAGGCCTTCTTGTATGACCTTCTATAATGTTTCATAATTTTGTCTACATACTTTGTTACATTTATTGGTAGTATATTATCATTTGATTGCTATTAAAATAGCATCTTCCAGGTTGTTATTGCTAGGATGTTAATTGACTTTTTGTGGTTGATCTTGGGGACTCTTATTAGTTCCAATAACTTGTGAATTCTCTGGATTTTCTAGATATGAAAATTTATTTTCCAATCCATAGGCCTCATTTCCTTTTCCTTTGATGCTGTAATCACAATTACTTCTAGTAAGTACTTGTGAATAGCAGAGGGCATCCTTGTTTTTGTTTTGCCTTCAATGGGGAGAGTTCTAAAGTATTTACATTCCTAAGCTTTTTGCTCTGAGGATTGTTAGACACATTTTATTAGGTTAAAGAAACTTTCTTCTACTCCTAGTTGGCTAAATATTATAAGTGAATGTTGAATAAAAATTGAATTTTTTTTTTGCATCTGTTGAGCAGGTCATTTTCCTTTCTTTATTTATGGCAAATTATAGCAATACTTTTCTGATATTGAACTATCTTTGAATTCCTGGGACAAACTTAACTTGGTTAGAACCCATTACCTTTGCTTACAACATACAGCTGGATTTGATTTGATTATACCTCATTTGGAATTTTTGCATTTATGTTCATAACTTTATTTCTTCTTATATCATGTATGTCAGGTTTGGGTACCAAGGTTAAACTTGCATCATAAAATTTGTTGAGTTGCTTTCCCTCTTTTTATATTCCTTGAAATAGTTTGTATAAATATTTTTGTATAAGATACTTACCTTAAAGGTATGCTAAACCTATAAATCCATCTGAGTCTGCTATCTTTTTGGGGGTGATTTTTTTTTATTGTTTTAACTGCAGTTCAATTTAATTGTTATTCATCAACCCAAGTATTTTTTCTTCTTGATCAATTTTAACAATGTTTTTTTAAAAGAAAATTCCTATTTTATCTATTTTCAAATGTATTGGTAAAAGTCGTTCACAATGGTTCTCTCATTTTAAAAACTGTTGTGAAGTTCTCAGTTTTTCTATAAATTGCTGTATGTTATTAGATTTTTCAAGGAACAAGGTGTTGATTTTGTTGATTTGCTTTGATTTGATGTCCTTCTCTCTACTGTACTAATTCCTTCCTTATACTTTCTTTGGGTTATATTGGCCTTATTTTTTAGCTTCTTTAAATGGTTCACTCATGTATGTTGTCAGGTAAGAACTGAACGCAGCTGGGCTGTAAAGACGGCTCTAAGCTCGGCTTTAGCTGCACCACCAGCTCTGCCGTGCACGCGCCTGTCCATTCCCAAATCCATCAGAATTCCCAACAACATTTCCTGTCTAAGCTGTGGGTTAGAAACATTACATTTTCAACCTTTTTAACTGTCTTTTTCATTGTTCTGTAAACATTTTGTATGTTGGAAAACAATGCACATTTTTCTGTTTTTAGGGAAAACAGGTACCAATTCCTGTGAGAGATAATTAAAATCTCACCCACGAATGCTGATTTCTGCTCTCTATATTTTGACCGTAATTGTTTGATGCTTACACACTGGTGACTGAGTGTCCTAAATTCCACTTCGGGAGTTATCAGTACTGCTGTCCCGGCTTCCTTTTGGTCAATGTTTACCTGTTACATCCTTTTTCTCTCTTTTGTTTTCAACCTTTGTATAATTTTGTTCTATGGTCTCTTTTAGCAGTTATTTGTTACGTCCAATTTGATACTCTCACAACAGGTCAGTTTAACACCTTACATTTGCTGTGACTGAGAAATACGTGGACTAATTCTGCCACCACATTTTGTTTTCTGTCCCTCATGCGTCCCCTCCACACCCTGCCTTTCTATCAGATCGACAACCTTTCTCTCTTCCCCACCTTGCAGGTTTAGAAGTCGTCAATTCTATTCTTATTCCGACGTGGACACTTTACGTTTCTTTTTTTTTTTTTTTTTTTAAAGTTTTTTTTTTTTTTTTTTTTTCCCCCCAAAGCCCCAGTAGACAGTTGTATGTCATAGGTTCACATCCTTCTAGTTGCTGTACGTGGGACTCGGCCTCGCGTTGGACGGAGAAGTGGTGCCTTGGGGCGCGCCCGGGATCCGAACCCGGGCCGCCAGCATCAGAGCGCGCGCACTTAACCGCTAAGCCACGGAGCCGGCCCCACTTTACGTTTCTTTTGTCACCTTTAGATTGTGACACACACAGACTTGTTATTTTGTCTTCACCATTTTCTGATAAAATAAAGTGTATGGAACATAGTCTGGGCCGTGCTCACCGCCTGCCTCATTTCTGTCTTAACGTGCTGGCCGTACCATGTGTGCGCGAGCAAAAGGAAGCACCGCGGTGCTGGGGAACGAGGACAAAGGGACTCCGTGCCACTGCGGACGAGGGCAGACAGCAAGTGTTGCTCATGTTTATTCAAACTCCATCCGTACAATAAAGAACTCTGGTTTTTAAATTTACATCAGCAGTAAAAAAAAAAAAAAGGAACAGTGACTGAAACATGAGGTTTAAAGTGCCTTTATGAGGAAAAGATGACGAAAGATGGTGGGTAATCCCAGGCTGAGATGGCAGGGTGGGGTCTGGACCATCAATATCAATATACTAGGTAAACTACGTGACACATCCACTTGCAAACAACTGATACACCAGAGGAAAAGCTGCCGAGTCTCGCACATTTTCTGTTTTATTACCAGCTCCAGAGAGGTCTGGCTGGCGGTGGCCCTGCACACGGCGGGGAGGAAGTCTGTGGGCCTCGGGGAGGGCTGTAAAGTGACACACTTCCAGCAGCACGGAGCCTATAAATACACCCCTCACACTGACACATATGTACATGTGTCAACATATACACACACATAAAGAATATCCGCCTCAACCAGATACAGAAAGAAGTTCCACAGAACAGAATCCGTTTCTGAAACACAAAAACAGGTAAAACAAGAGTTTTCTTTCCAGTTCTGCCTTGACTTGAGTAAAATAAACTCTGCACCTTTAATGTCTGTTCTCAGGGTGATCACACAGACACGCAGGTGACCTGACGCAGTCTCGGGCAGCGGCTGGAGCGCGGATGGCAGCGGTGGTTCCGATGACACCCTGTAGACGCTGCGGCTTTACATACTCGTTAAAAACAATAAAAATCGCCTAATTCAGTGAAGCTAGTTAAAAAAGTCAAGAGTTCCCCATTTCTTTTTGTAGAAAAGAAGGTTAATATTTTAAATGATAGTTTAAATTTTCTTTTCAAAATTAACCTATACCTACAGGTAAAGGAATCTCCTTGGTTTCTAACCGCCTGTTTGCAGAAACGCTGCCTGATTCTATTAGGGACGTGTTTTCATTTACTGTGACCAGGAGGCTGTGGATAGTGCCATCGTTTCCACAAGAGGGTCCCCAAACCATCCGCAGTATAAACAGTGTGCTGCAGTGTAAACCCCAGTAACAAAAAAATAGTTTCATATCAAATACAGTATCAAATTGTCATTTCATGTAAACACAGTGATTCTTGGTAAAGATCAGAGACCAACGTACCACAAAAAATGGCCGTGGGATTAATCCTTGCTTTAAAAAGAAACTGGTAAAAGACAAAATCGTCCGTCCGTCCGTCCCGCCCCCTGTCCTCGAGCTGTTGGGTCAGTGAATCGGTCATTTCTTTTGGAAGCAGTCCCAAAGTACGCGTGTTCCTGCAGAAAGCACCAGACCAGAAGTGTCAGAAACCAAAGCAGCGAGGCTGGGACCGGCCCCCTACCCCTCGCCGCCCGGCAGAGGCTGGAAGGGACACCCCCGCCTCGGTGCCCTTCTGCACAGGTGGTCTGCTGGCCTGCAGCTCCTCTTTCACTCCGGGTTTTCCCAGGAAGCTCGGTCTTCCCCTGGAAACCGGCTTCTGCACCCTGGGTGGGGTCCTGGCATGGAGGCTGGAGGCTGGAATCTTCCCGAACCTTCCCTCTGAAGAGCCCTGTCCTGCACCCCGAGGTTCCGTGGGTGGTGGGTGCCGCCTCGTCGGGTCTTGTCAGGTCCTCCTTTTCCAGGGCGTCTTAGGGCACCGTCCCCTCACCAAACTAAGCAAGCCCAAGCAAAGGAACACTTAGAGGTTTGCAGGCGGCCTCTTGCGCCGGGGCCGGGGGGCTACCCCTGCAGGTCTGAGAGGGGGAGGCCGCAGCTCTCGCTGCAGCTGGAGGAGTTGCTCAGCAGGGTGGACCCCGCGCTGGACTCTGCGGGAAAACCAGGCGAGAACAGCTTTGGCTTCGAGCCTGCACGCTCAGCCCCTCTGCTTCAACAGCCCGAGGCTCAGGGCGGCGCCAGCGAGGGAGGAGCGGGGTCTCACCTGAGCTGCTCAAGCACTGGGCAGAGCCGGACTTGCCGAGGAGCGCGGACAGGCTGCCGGCCGGCACCCAGCCCTCCTTGCTGGAGGTCAGGTTCCTGACAAACCTGCAAGGGGGTGGGCGGTCAGGGGCTCCAGCCCAGGGCCCAGCGTGGCTGGGATGTGAGCACATTGCGGGCGTCTTACCAAAGGCCGTCGTCGCCCTCCTGGACCACCTCCACCACGTCCCCGCTCCGCACGGCCAGCGCGTCAGGGCTGCCCTTCTCGTCGTCCGCCATGACCGTGAACCTCCCCGGAACCTGGCGGGGGGCAGCGTGTCAGGCACACAGACCCCCTGCTCCCCCTGCATGGAGCGCCACCGCAGCGCTGTCCACCAGGGCAAGGTCCCATGAGAGTGGGCGTCCAGTGTTCAGTGGCGGGAGGACGAGGGCGCTTGGTCAGCGCCCCGCCCTCCTGGAGCTTCTGATGCAACTGTCGCCTTAAACAACAGGGAAGGTCTCTGGTCGTCAGGTCTCACTCAACCTAACCAACCTACAGAAGGCCCCTAGCCCGTCCCTGCGGTCTGGCCTCGCCCCCACCCCCAGCTCCTGCTGGTCTCCCACACTCCAAACACAGCCCTCGGCCCCTGCCCTCTGCACCTGTTGCCCCCTCTTCCTGGAACCTTCCTGCCCTCCTTGGCCTCCCGCCTGAAACGCAGTCATCCTCACCTAATGTGTTAGGTATTTGACCACTTTTTGGTTTTTTCTCCCCGTGAGAGTGGGGATTCCTGCCCGTTTTGTCCCTGCTTGGCCTTCAGTGCCACACACACAGCAGGTGCTCTGCTCAGATCTGCGGCCCAGTGCGAACCCCAGGAGAAGAGGCTGTTGTGACGGAGCGTGCAGGGACTCAGGGTCACCTGGCGGTAAGACGCCACAGGACTGAACTGTGGGTGGGGCTGTGGGGCTGCAGGGTTTGGAAGCCTGCAGAGCGAGGCTGAGAGTCCTTCACCCTCATCTCGGGTCATCTCAGGATGACCCTGCACCAGCCCCTGATGGGGCCTGAGCAGCCAAAGCCATGTCCTCCAGCTACCCTGAGACCAGAAGCCTCCCAGCAGGGCCTGCCCACTCGCCCAGAGCCCGCCTCCTGCCCTGCTCTCCCTGCCCACCAGCCCATGTCCCCTGCTGGGTCTCCCAATGCCCCAGGCTCCCCCTGACCCTCCATGCCCCACGCCGGCTCTCCTCACCCTCAGGCCTCCTAGGGAAAGGCCGCCCTGACCTCGCTGAGACTCCTGCTCTGTTCTCATCCATTTATCTGCGTCTGCTCCTCCAGACTCTGGGATGTTTGCTGGCTGCGATAACCCTGGTGTTAGAACCAGGACGGCACCAAGAGGGCAGTGAAGGTATGTTGGTATAAGCCCCACTCTGATGACCTAATATGTAAATAGCTTCTCCTTGCTGCTCGTGTTAAAACAGGACCTTGTTTAGAATGCAAATCCATACTTCAGACAGAGCAGTTCTCTTAAACAGAGATCGAGGTGTGTGCACAGCTTTACGGAAGCTCTTAAGAACGTTCTACTTATCTGAAAGCAAGTCAGGGGTGTGCACATCCCCTGCAGGAGAGCCCCCATCTGTGTGGTGATTAATGGTGGAGAACTAGCAGAGAGGTGGGCAGGCCAGAGCCTCAGGGTCCCCCGGCACCTGACAACCCTTCCCAGTGGCCATGGGGCCGTGGCAGCATCGCCGCGGAGCTTCTGGAGCTCTCCCTCCCCAGGCAGCAGCGTGCCGGCTGACTGCCCAGTGGGAGCCAAGGTTACCAGCTTCCTGGGGCCCACTCCGCCTTCCTCCTCTGCGTCTGAGGAATTAATCGCCTCCTCGGCACTTGACCAGCCGTCGTTGTCCTCAGGGGCCTCCGAGGGGTGAGATGTTTTGCTCCAACCTGAGAGAGGAACAGACTCCAGTGAGGACCGCCCTCGATGACGAGCCTGTCCCAGGGTGGTCTACAGAAGTCCCCAAGACCTCTGCACTGTGCCACCTTCAATGAGCTTGCCCCCTCCCCAGGAGCTTGAGGACTTTGCAGGACACGCCACAGACTTCTGAAATGCCTGTGCAAACAGTCGAGGGAGACGGGGCCCAGAACACCTGCTTCCACAGCCAGGTGAAGCCGGGGGAGAAAGATGAACCCCCAGCCCCTCCCCAGATGGCTTATCCAGCAGGCTCTGCTGCTTCCCAGAGGAGGGGGAGCACTCCCCCAAAGCCCCCTGCCTGCCAGTCCCGGGGAGCACGGAGACCCTGAGAGACAGATAGCCAGAGACACCACCACCTTCTGTGTGGAGCAAACGCGTCGAAGGGAAGGCGTTTTCAATTAATGCACGTCACACTCGACACCCATCAGACCAGGCCAGGAAAGAGCTCCTCACACAAATGACAGAGGTCTGCTCAGAGCGCCCTGCGCAGGCACCCTCCTAGCTCCTGCTGTGGGGTGCGGGCGCTGGGATTCTCACGGGACAGGCGAGCAGACGGCACACCGTCTAATCAGGCTCATCATGCGTCTGAGCTTCCGCGGCCTCGGGGCACAGCTGGGATTCCAGCCCAGGCCGCCGGGCTCCAGAGGCAGCCTGCGTGAGCTCGGACCACCTCCGCCGGGCCAGCAAATAAGGGGAGGAAAGCTTTCTGCTGGTCTTATAAAATGCATATGTATTCCTCCATCTACTGCCAGGCACCCCAAAGAGCAGCAACTTATCTCCCATCTTGGGGGAGAATGCAAGTAAGCTATGGGGAGATGGGAGATGATGAGCTCCTCATTCTGATAAATACGATAAATGCCAATAATAAAGCAACGGGCTGAAGGCGCCTCCCTTGGTGTCGGATCAGAGCTACCACACGTGCCATATGGATTTCAACAAGCACCAGGATGGGAAACAAGCAGACTGCTCAGGGGGTGTGGGCCTGGGCAATCAGCTGTTGGTCACATGGCGTGTGGCTGGAAGCTCGCTTTCTCCTGAGAAGACAGAGTGCTGGGTGTGAAGAACCATGGCCAGACAGTGCAAGATGCATGCCCCCCATTATGAAGTCAGGGCTGCAGGGAGGCAAGCTACCTAACAAGCCAGGTCCCAAGGCCGGTCGTTTTTCAGGTTGGCAAAGAACAGCTTGTGTTGAAGAGGCAAGGGGAAGCCATCTTTGTCTTCCTAGAAAGGGAGCTGGGCCCAGAGCTCCCCACCAGCCATCAGGGCCATGAGCCCCGGGAAGGAAGCACGTCTGCACGTGTCCTCAGGGCCACAAAGACTGGCCTCCCGTGAACCCCTTGGAGCCCCCACTCCATATGAGGCTGGCCCAGCGGCTGGGAAAGCCTCTGCACTTTGCCTTCCTGGGGCTGGGCTGCTGGTGCAGGGAGTAGGGCCCTGCTCAGCGCCCTGCCAGGCTTGCGTCTGTGCAGGAACTGGGGACTGAATTTCCAGTTTCAAACCACCCAACCTCACCTTCTCCAGGCCTGTCTAGAGTTGTCACATGCACAGCGTGGGAAACTAAGACGGAGCACTGGGCAGGGGACGCTGGGGGTCCTGGTGCCAGGTGGCCTGGCTGCAAACATCTTCCCCCCCGCCTGCCCACCACCCACAGATACGGGGCTTCTGGAAAAACAGAAGCAGAAGTCTATCTGAGGACAGTGAGGACAGAAAGACGGAGACTGTCCTATGGGCAGAGGAGGCAGTGCTCCCTGGCCAACGGACCTGTGTGAACCTCGGCTCCAGAGAGCAGTGGGCTGTCTGCGCTGTGGAGACTCGGGCAGCCCCCCCCCGGCGCCTCCAGAGAAAAGGTTTTCTAGACGCAGAGCAGTGTCTAGGCCTGGGGCTGCTCACGGCTCTGCCCGGAGCCTCCGGGTGACCCCTTGTTAACAGGCTCGAGTAGCATTCCTGCATTAAACCGTTAAACGGTGTGACAAGGGGTATGTGGGAAAACATCGAGAGCCGGCTGTGCCCGAGGCACCACGTACGGAACAAGAAAGTGCTTGGCAGCTCACAACACACACGGAACAGCATCGCTCTCCACCCATGTGGGAGGTTGGGGATTTCGCAGGAGGACATTAGGCCAAGGTGACCGTGAATATGGTCACCTGTTTCCTGTAAAATAGTCCTTGATGTTGATATTGAGTAAAACAACCAGTTGCTGAAGCTTTTCAGGAAGCAAGCATTTAACCATTTGCAGGGGCGCCAGCCAGGAAGACCTGCAGCTCATCGTCACCTGCTGTAGACTAAAATGACCAATGAGGAGGAGGAGGAAGGAGGAGAAGGACGAGGAGGAGGAGGCAATGGAGTAGGAAGTGGAGGAGGAGGATGAAGAGGATGGGGGAAGAGGAGGAGGAGGAGGAGGATGAGGGGGAGGAGACAGTGGAGGAGGAGGATGAAGAGGAGGATGAGGAAGAGGAGGAGGAAGAGGAGGAGGATGAAGAGGAGAAGGAGGATGAGGAGAAGGAGGAAGAGGAGGAGGAGCAGGCGGTGGAGAAGGAGGATGAAGAGGATGGGGAAGAGGAGGAGGAGGAGGGGGAAGAGGAAGAGAGGGAGGAGGAGGAGGA